AACGGGACAAGTTTGGCATCTTTGGGATGACTAGTAAAGCAAATCAAGTTTTTAAGATTTCGTTTGGATTTAATAATAGACAGTTCAGATTCTAATCTTTGTGTTTGGATGGTTACTTTGAACTAAAAGGGCAAAAGTGCAGGCTTTTGGGTCATAAGATAAGGGCAAAAGAACTTCACACTCATGTCTCCTCGCAATATTAAGGTTGCCCATGACAGTGACAACTTCCTTTTTCTTTCTTTCTTTTTTTTTTTTTTTTTTTAAGTCATTACGTCTAGATCCATTAATAAGCTTAAAATTTAAATCTTGAAGGCATTACTTAACTTTTATTTTTTAAATTTTAAATATATCATATCAATATAAAATAGGTGGTGTTGGATAATTTTTTATCCAACCTTTTTATATAACTTTCACATGTCATTAAATGACCTTTTTATATAACTTTCACATGTTATTAAATGAGTGGATGTATTTACTATCATAAGTTTCACATGAATTAAAAGAACTAATTATTTTAATAACACATCAAGTTATATAAAAAAGTGAAACAAAAAAGTTATACAAAAAACATTTCTCATATAAAATATATACCTTTAAATTTGATTAAAAAATTATTAATTTTAAATTACTCAAAAATTACCTCAAAACACCCTCATTATAATTAGCAAAACAAAGTCATCATTTATTTGTGTGATGGGTAAGGGAAATTCGAATTTTAGGAATTTTAAAGTCTCAGACATTTCCTTTAACTACTGTAAAAATGCCTTACAAACCAAGAAACCCAAATTACCTAACTTTTTCGTCATCCTCACGAGATGTTTATGTGATTAAGACTTTGTTTCTTGGTATTTAAGTTTTTAAGTTTAAATTATAAAATGAACAAAAATAGATTTAAAAATGAGAAAATTATCCTATTAAATTACTCATGAGATGAAATTAAGAAAAAAAAAATTCCTCACCATCCCAGTGAATTGTTGGTACGCCACAAGTGTATAATAATATACTGATTGAATCGGTGATGTGTATAATTAGGGGCCATAATCATAAATTTGAATGAATGACTAAAAAAAATGATATAATTAACTATTAACTAATTGTTGGTTCTTACTTAAATTAATCTAAAGGCCCACCCCACCCAACTCAAAAAGAAACTCTAAAGCCACATTTAATTGACTGTCAAACGACACCATAGGGCCATGGGGCTATATTTTGCCTTTTGGCATTACTCTCTCTTTCTGTATGAGAAAATAAAATAATTGCTGTGATATCAAAAGCAAACAAATAATGGGGGCAAAATGTGTCATCCTTCCCCTATTTGTCAATTGCCACTCACTTAAAATACTAAAAAAGAATCCCATAAAAAAATTTCTAAAAAAAAAAAAAAGATACCTAATTTATTCTGAATTGACAAAGCATCAAAATGGACCTCACATATGTCTTGACTCTCAACTATGACTCTTTTGTTTTGTAATTTAAAAAAAAAAATTATTAAATAAAAAATAATTTTTAATATTAAAAAATTATTTTTATTTAATAATAAAAATTATGTAGTCTGTACTATATAATAACTTTTTGTTTGATTAAATATGCTGTACCCACCAACAAAGATGAACCCATAGCATTAAGATTTCTACTACTTTAACCAAAAAGAGCAAAATAATTAGAGCCTTTTTTCTCCATGTTGCCATGTGAGCTTAAAGTTTACGAAAATGGATTGCAATTTAACTTTACCGAAAAAGAGCAAAGCAATTCTACCTTCCTAGCTAAGATATGCAATTTGTCTTTCGTGTACGAAAATGGGTTGCAATTAAAAGCCATCCAAATCTGAGCCACTTTGGGCATTCATTTGGTACTTTAAAGGTGTGATACATGCTTTGGATTCTCATATCCACCGTGCCTTTATTTTTTATCCCATGGGAACCATATACAATGTCCAGCACAAGTTGGGACTTGTTTCTATCACAGAAAAGCATGTTACGGTAGGGTCATTTAAATTTTAAATACCTGAATTAAACTTTTGAATTTAGTGATTTGTTCTCAAATCTTAATATTTAAATTTAATTAATTAAAAATTCAATTCATACTAATTATTTAAAAAAAAATCTTTTATTTCTTATAATTCTCCATGTTAAAAAAAATATATTAAAATGCCTATATCGTGACCTGTCGACTTGAAAGATTTGCTCTCTCCATCCCAAAGGTAAGAATTTCTGAAAACAAGAATATACTCCCCATAAAATACTTAAAATACAATGAATAATCCCTATAAAAAGGTAGTAAGATATATATAATAAGTTAATAATACGTTGACATATAAAAGTCTACTAATTTCTTGAATTCTTAACATTGATCAAACAACTTGCACTTATCTACAATAATCATTTAAGAAAATCTTAGAGGAATTTTAGTTTAATAGATTTTGGCTGCTAAGAAGGTTCTATAATCAATAAATAATAATAATAATATATATATAAAAGAAAGATAGGAGTGGTTTTATAAGCATGTAATGTGCTAAAAATAAGTAACATACATGTATTAGTAATGCATTTAGTTGACTTTAATTTATTAAGCAAATATATTAAGTTTCCTGGTACAGGTTGATTCAGGCAAGTTTTTGGTCAGAATAAACTTGTCCCTTTGCTGGATCAGGAGCTAGGCTCCTAAGGCCCTCCTCCCACCCCAGACTAAGCTTTCACTGGAAAAAAATCATACTACTGCTACGTATTAAAAAAACATTTGTCGGAATTAAAAATTATTTGACCAACTGAGTTAATCTGCAGGTTTTCATGCATCTTTATATTCAAATGTTTCATTCACTCATCTATCACTGTTCATATATATATATATATAAATGTTTCATTGACTCGATTCCCTCCCCCTATAAATGATTAAAAAGATTACCTTCTCATTTAAATTAAATTAGTTGACTTAAAATTAACAACTTCTCGAAATCTAATGCTTGGAGGACAAACTTAAATTTAAAAGATCTAAAGTTTCATTAATCAAATATATCAAGAAAAAAAAATAGAAGAATATATTTGTGATTTAGTTACACAACAAAAAAATCAAATACAATTAATTTTACTGTAAAAATTTTAAAAAGTCATACAATTTTTTATTTGTTATGAGATGAGCTAATTTATTAAAACCTCATAGAAAAAATGGATAAGTGGAAAAAATTAAGATTCCAAACTTAACAGTATGATATAAAAAAGCACATTTTTGTTAATAATTTAGTCAAAACATGTTAATCAATTTTTTTTTTTTTTGAACATTTTGTCATGGGGCCGGCTCGAACTGTTACTCTAGAGGAAGGGAACATAAACCTTACAAGCGTTACTAAAACCCCTTAACCCGAAAAATCAGGTTCAATCAATATACTTTTTTTTGATACATAACAATTGTAAAAATTAATTGTGAGATGAAATTGTATACGGGTATATTGTGAAGTCTTAGATGGCGAGCTTTATTTCGTGTCAGTTGCAGCAGATAAAGCGTGAAGTAAATCAAGTGAGCACATGAATTGGCATAGTGGGCTGCAGTTTTTTTGTTTTTGTTTGACTGTCAGAATGGTAAGCTGCTACTTGCTAGAGTATCGAGGATGATATGATTTGGATGTGCTTAAGCCAATATCTCCTTTGGTTTTAGAGGATAAGTCTTATGCTTCTTTATCTCCTTTGGTTTTAGAGGATAAGTCTGATGCTCCTTTGTCTCCTTTGGTTTTAGAGGATAAGTCTAATGCTCCTTTATAAAATTTACAGTATTATAAGGGTAATTTTTTATATTATTTTTTATATTAATTTTATATATTATTAAATAAATATATATTTAATATTATAAATTTTAAATAAATAAAAATAATTAATTATTTAAATATTTTTTTAAATAATATAAAAAAATTATCTCTAATAGTGGTCCTTATGAGATTCAATATAAAGCAACTAATTTCTCTAATAGTTGTCCTTATGAGATTCAATATAAAGCAACTAATTTCTCATTTACTTAAAAAAAATTATCTCTAAAAAATCTGGAAATTTATTTAAAATTAAATAAAATCATTCAAAAATAAATTAAGTTTTTCTTCGAATGTAATAGAATTTTGGAAGGTAAATTTGAAGTGGTAAACTACACAAAATTTGCCAACTATTATGAGTGCCTCATTCAACGGTACTCAATTTATTTATTTTTTATTTTTAAGACAAAATTTATGCAAATAAACTTTTTGTCTTAAACTAAAACTACAGCACATTCAAACATACAGTATTTTTGAATGAGTGGAGGTCTTGAATAAATGGAGTTTTTGAAATGCTCCTAAATTTATATTTATCTTGTCCAATTTATTTATTTTAATTTAATATCGAACACGATTTTATGGGTAATAGCAAGGGAACAATTTTTTTGGTATAAATTTTTTATATAAATCTTACATTTTATTAAATAAGTAAATGTATATAATATTATTAATTTTAATAAAATAAAAAATTAATAATTAAATAACATATAAAATTATTAAAAAAATTTATACTACAATTTATTTTCTAACCCCGATAAAGTAACTTAATTAATTAAAAATTTAATATTTTAAATTAAAATTTTCCAATTTGAAGACCAGAGATGAATTTTTTTTTTAAAAAAAAAAGGTAAAAAAGCTATATGCTTTGTTTATTCATCAGGTGTCCCAACAAAGAAACTACTTATTTTTTAATTTAGGCAATGAAATTATTTTACTTCAATTTTTTTTTTTACATATATATTTTTACTACTTAATTTTTATTTTTTTTTTAAGGAGAAGCTCATTAATTATTCTCCATTTATATTTTTTTTAAAAATTTCTGCTACTCGTAATTACTGTAAAAGGAAGTGGCAGACATAAGAATTAAGAGGAGATAGGATTACAATATAATGTCAACAGAAGCATTCAAGCTCCGCTGCTGATGTCATAAGACACCATTTCTGAATTAGTAGTATAAAATCCCTTAAATCTTAATCCCAACTCCGAGAAACGCACACAGCTTTTTTCTGCTCAATTTCTTGGGAGGGAAGAAGAAAGAGAAGAAAAAAACAGGGAAAAAAAAAAAAAAACAGAGCCACGTCAAGCATTCCCGTCACCGGCGAATTCGGAATTGGAAACTTCTGGTGTGGTGGCCGGCGATGATGATTGCCTACTTGGAGAGATTCGTGCACGAGAACGATGCGGAATCGAAACCGGACCGTGACGTTTCGAGTATTTGCAATTCCTTAGACCTTCAAGGAAGTGTAGATGGCGGCAGCAGCGGTGCCGGCATAGCAGACAAGGATTTCGGCGGAATGCAATCCGTCAGGCCGTTGGCGTTAATCAGACCGGCAGGAACAGAGGACGTGGCAAGCGTCATCAAGGCGGCGGGGCGGTCGCCGAACCTGACGGTGGCGGCGAGAGGCAACGGCCACTCGATCAACGGCCAGGCGATGGCGGAAGGCGGCCTCGTTATTGACATGCGGTCCACCGAGAAAAATCATTTCAAACTCGTGACAATCAATGGCTCTCGCTATGTTGATGTCTCGGGAGGGGCATTATGGGAGGACGTTCTAAAACGGTGCGTTAGGGAATTCGGCCTGTCTCCGAGGTCGTGGACAGATTACCTCAGTCTAACAGTGGGCGGAACACTATCCAACGCCGGCGTCAGCGGCCAAACCTTCCTATACGGACCGCAAACATCGAACGTGACGGAATTGGAGGTGGTAACCGGAAAAGCAGATACTATGATTTGTTCGGAGTCCGCAAATCCCGACCTCTTCTTCGGAGTCCTCGGCGGTCTCGGTCAATTTGGAATTATCACCAGAGCAAGAATTTTGCTACATCCGGCACCGGATAAGGTCGGTGTTTCCCCGATTTCTAAAATTTCCTTTTTTTTTTTATTTTCCGGCGATGAAATTCTACATTATTTTCCTTCTTTTTTTTTCGACAAGTAATTTCGGATTTAATATTTAATTAGGTGAAATGGATAAGAGTGGTTTACACCGAGTTTGAGGACTTCACTCGGGACGCCGAGTTCCTGGTGACTCGGCCGGCCGGCGAGTCGTTCGACTACGTGGAAGGTTTTGTGTTCGTGAACAGTGATGACCCGGTAAACGGCTGGCCACAGGTGCATTTGGATCCGAATCACAAATTCGACCCGACTTTAATCCCTCCAAACGCCGGCTCTGTTCTCTACTGTATCGAGGTGGCTCTTAACTACCGCAACGTTGACCGCCCCGCAACTATTGATTCGGTAACCAATTTCTGCTACCCTTACGGTATATTTTATTAGGTTAGTTTAAAATATGATTGTGAAAATTGACACACAATTTATATAAATTGAATATTTTACCCAACTTACCGAAACGGACTTTAAAACACTTTTATTTTTTTCATATTTTATTTTATCTCATTTCCTGGTATAATTTCTTGCATTACGCAGAGCATAGCATCATACATGATCAGTGTAAAAAATGATTGGCCAATTGTGGGGCTTAGGAGTGCACTTATGACTGAGTTTTGACCTAGGCTGTTGCTAAGTGGGTCCCGTCTAAAGCTGTTGACCACGAAACTAAAAGTGGGTCCTACCTGAATGTCCCCGTTGGAGGGGTTAAAAAGTCAAAAATGACTTAACACCTGTAGCATTTAATTTCCCCTTAATACGAGGTTAAAATTAAAGAAGTAATTCTAGGCTTGGTTCAATTTTGGTACAGGCCATACGGTGGTAATATAGTGTATCTTCCATTGGATTTTCTGTCTGGGGAAGTTCTGGAAATGCCCATTGCTTGGTGTTAATTACAACAATAGTATCAGTACTGCTTTCCTCTGCTTCCCTCTGTTTAATTTTTTTTGGGTTGATTTCGAAATTTTGGGAGTTTGTTGAGGTTAAAGTAGTAAGACTGTAACAGAAGCTGTCGTAGTACTGATCATTGAGATTTTGCTGACATTTTGGTCCCCTCAGTCCCACAAATGGCCAAAAAGCCATCATCTTCTGGAATCTGCATACCACAAAATGGCATGTTCTTCTGTTTCTCACCCGAAATGACGCAACTACCCCCTCCCCCTTCTTGATTTTCTCCACAGGCTGTGAGTAGATTGCTTGGACGGCTTGGATTCGTCAAGGGACTGGAGTTCCAGGTGGACGTGACCTATATGGAGTTTTTATTACGTGTGAACGTTCACGAGGAACTCGCCAAGGCCAACGGCATATGGGAAAATCCTCACCCTTGGTTAAACATATTCGTCTCGAAGCCAAACATTGCTGATTTTGATCGAGCGGTGTTCAAGGAGATTGTCAAGGATGGTGTCGGTGGGCCCATGCTGGTGTACCCTATGCTGCGAAGCAAGTAAGTATTTCTCTCTCCCCCCTCTCTATTCCATTCCATTTCGTGGACCCTACTCCCCAATCGTTTTTAAGTTGAATGTCTGTCACGTGCGAGGGGGTGACGAGGTTTTCACTAAGTTGGGTATACTCGTGACACGTGTTAATGTGGACCCTGCTGCAAAAATTGAACCTCTCCATCACCTGGCCCTTTCTCGGCCCAAAAAAAAAAAATCACCTGCCCCTTTCACCCTGATATATACGTTGGCTGATTTTAACGGATCCAATGTTTGAATCCAGTTGGTTACCTGAACGTAACGTCTCAAATTCTACATCGAGATAAAAGTATGAGTGGTATGTTGAATTTTTTGTTAAAATAAAATTAAAAAAATATAATTAATATAATTCTATCATAACAAATTATTAAGTCAGTGAGAGAGGCTGGTTACAGTCATTTTAGATTACGAATGTACGTAGGTAAAAAAATTTCTACTTAGAATCGGGTCAGTTTTTACGTGGGACCCAACTAGTTTGGCATTAGCAGTTTGACCCATTTTTACTGTCTTAACCTGCACCCTACTGTACTCCATCGTATCATTCTACAATTAGAATATTACTCTTTGCGTCACGTTTGGTTTGTTATGTTAACGTAGATAAAGGGTACTACTTTGTGGGACAGAGATACTGCGTGGGTCCATAGAAGATAGTTTTCTGCACTTCTTTTTTTTTTTTTTTTTAACGCTGTCTAATTGCTTACTAAATAAGAATTTGGGTTTTCCAATTCCCCCCCCCCCTTTTTTTTTTTCTTTTGGGAAAGTGAATTGCAGTTGTGCTCCATGACACTGTAACATGGCATTCTATTCTTGATTTATCTGTCAGATCGGGGGGTATTTTGGGAAATTGGCAGCTCGAAAACCCTTGTTGTGGAAAAAGACGATTTCAAGTGTTTGCCATATCAGAAACGACAAGTAAATTTATTCACCAACTAAACTATAATGACACCATAATTTGACTGGGCTCCATTCGCGACTTCTCCCGTTGACGGAATTACCCCTTCTCTCCGCCGCCGCCGCCGCCGCCCTCAAAACCATCAGCTTGGTTTTGCGGCGTTAATTCTCAACCCTGAAATGAAGAAACCATGTTGCTCAATTTTTTTTTTTTCCCTTAAATGGAAAATAACAGTTTGTTTTTACCGATAAAAGGAAAAAAAGAAATTCCCATAATTTTTTTGTCCTAATTCAACTATATGTAGAGATAGGAATGGGACTTGGGGCATAGAGTCTTTGTCTTAGCTTTTCTTTATATTATATATACAGTATTATTTTAAATAAGCAGAATCACTGATGCTGCTTTCAGCTTTTTGGATAAGTTATTTACATGAATACATTTTTTCTTGATGGACCAGATGGGATAGTCGGACGTCTGTGGTGCTACCGGAAGGGGACATTTTTTACATTGTTGCGTTATTGAGGTCTACCGTGTATCCCAAAGGACCCGAAGTTGAAAAATTGGTCGCGACAAACCGTAAGATCGTGCAGGTGTGTCGGGATAAGGAATTTGATTTCAAGCTGTATCTTCCTCACTACCAATGTCAAGAGGATTGGGAGCGACACTTTGGAGATCAATGGAGCAGGTTTGTGGAAATGAAGCGGGTTTATGATCCTATGGGCATACTTGCCCCGGGACAGAAAATTTTTCAAAAACAGGACTACCCACCATCAGTCTTAGTATACCCTTGTTGATGATATGATCAATTGTCTTTATTAGTTCATCTTGTCATTTTGCAAAATTGAAATTGATTGAAAGACTTTGTTGTTAATGTTCTTTCATGTCTTTGTCAAAATCATGGGCCAATTCATTATGGACCGTTCAAGTTACATTTTACATATTCCCAATCTCAAAATTGAATGATGGTTCAGTTTGAGATAATTTTGACTAAATTCAACTTTACAATTGGATCGAAAATCAAAATCCTTTTCAAAACACAAACAGATATTATTGTACAATAACTAAAAAGATGTAAATTTGCTATTGGATTCTCTTCTTTCTCCTTTCCTTTCCTTCGCCTCCAAAAGCTTTTCCTTTTCATTGTTGTTTTTCCCCTAAAAGATTTGGCTTTCTTTTCTTTCTTTTCCCTCGGGGGATTGCTTTGAGTTATTGCAAATCAAATCTACTTGGTTTATGATGATCCGTTGTTTGGCTTTCTTTTCCTTTCCCTTGTATGAAAAGGAGAGAAAAGTTAAAACGGAAAGAGGCCCCAAATGTGTCCCATGAACATGCTTTACATTGCAATTATAAGATCATGATTTCTTGTAAGACTCAATCCACTAACCAACGAAGCTTTTCTCGATTAATCCCATGCAGAGCCCTATACGTCCTTGGATAATCGTGTCATGCATCAACACATGATTTTTGTTAATCATTTTAAGCTTTTTTTCCCTAGAGTTAATTATTTCAAATGAATTGAAACTCAAATTACAAATTTATAATATTTTTTAAAAGAAAATCTACTTCAAAAATTCATTTGTTTTAATCAAACTCATAACTCTAAATTTATGGGGTCTCAATTTTTAAATTGACATGAGCCCCTTTGACTATCTTTTTTTCTTGACAGATTATTAGTAATTTCTAAAATTACTTATATAAGTTATGTTGATGTGTACATTCTTTCAACATAAAACCAAAACGAGAAAGTTCACTTTCTTCGTATTCAATCCAAAGGGTGTGTTTTTCAAGATAATTTTATCGAATATATAACTTATATACGTGATATTGTGGACATAGGACACGTGCGTGGTGCACTTTATATAGCATGTAAATTTGTTAACTTTATGAAAAGAATAGTAT